GCAAAGAAGTGACATGAGCTTCGGCCCTGCCGCCCGCCCTGCCCTGGGCCAGACAGTCATTTTTGTTGTCAGAAGGGGGTCATGGTGCAATGAAGTTTGAGAAATGCTGAGTTAGAGAGCTGGGTCGCGCCACCAGGCCTCGGTACTCCCTTTCCATTGTCACATCTCTTCCTACTATGTTCTCCCTGCTGTGTCCCACTCCTCCCTTGTCTTCAGTACCCCTTTGCCCCCCTAGAGAGACCCCCACTCTGTACGCTATCCAGATGCGCCTTGCTGGCTCCCTGACTCCCTCTGCCTGTCTCTTTTCCCCAACAGCTCGCTCTGCTGTTCTCTCTTGCACCCGCTAACACTGTGCTCCCTGTGTTATAAGTGCCTAGAGAGACTGGAACTGAAATCAACAATTGCTCTTTATGACTCGCTATGCCTATCACACTGCTTGTGTCTGTGGCTCTTCGGAGGCCGAAATTTGTAGATGTCAAGGCCAGAAGGGACCATTACATTCACCTTGTCTGACCTCCTGCATAACCCAGGCCATAATTCCTGCCCTGAGCCCATCACTTCTGGTTGAGCAAGACATGGCTCAGGCAGCAAACTCCTCCTGTGAGTGCAGTGCTGGGAAAGGAGACAGCCCAGACCTCTCCTACCCTCTGTTCATCCCTGAAATGAATGGGGCAAGTGTCCCGGTGCTGCCCTGCCAGCGTGCTGCACTTCTGAGCTAAAGGGACTCTCATCCCATTTACCCGGTTTACATATTGGTACAACAAGAGCTTTCTTCCAGGCTTCTGGAACTTCCCCTGTGTTCCAAGACTTATCGAAAATCGACACTGAAGCTCCAGCAAGTTCCTCAGCCAGCAAGTTTAAAACTCTTGGATTCAAGTTATCCAGACCTGCTCATTTCAAAATGTCTAACTTTAGTAGCTGCTCTTTAACATCCTCCTGAGATACTAGTAGGATGGAAAGAGAGTTGTTATATGGTATGACTGCATCATCAGTTTTCCCCCCAGTACAGGACAGAAATATTTATTGAACAATTCTGCCTTTTCTGCATTATTATTGATAATGTTATCATTTTCATCTAGTAATAGACCAATACCGTTTTTAGGATTCCTTTTGTTCCTAAAATATTTTAAAACACCTTATTGTCCTTAATGCTGCTGGCCATAGAGTTCCCTTTGCTTCCTTTATCAATTTTCTATAATTCCTAGGTTCTGAAGTATATTCATTACTATTAACTTCCCCTTTCTTCCATTTGTTTTATATAAACATTTTTATACCTGCCTTCATTTCCCCTCTAAACAAGATCAATTTTTAATCAACATGGCCTTCTTCCTTGATTGTGTCTTTTTGAGCATCTAGTAAGGTGTTCTTAAACAATTCCTACTTGTCATTCACATTTTTTGGATTGAATTCTTCCTCCCAGCTGATCTGGCTTGTAATAGTTTTCAGCTTTGTGAAATTGTCCTTTTTCCTCCCACGCATTCTAGAGAGGTGCATAAGGAGCCAGTCATCCTGTTCCCTGATCTGGTGGTCTGTAGCAGACATCAACTAATACCCCATTTGTGATTTATCTGTTCATCCATAAACATGCAGGATAATTTTCTTCCGTGTTACCAGTGACTCAGAAACAGGTAATGCCATTTTTGACATGAAGTGCTTGTCCCCCTCCCCTTTTGCCCACTCAATCCTTCCTAAAAAGGTGACAGCCATTGATTTTAACATTACAGTCATATGCATCTTCCCAGCAGGTTTCAGTAAAACCAACTAGATCAAATTTATGCTCACTAATATGCAATTCCAATTCCTCTTGTTTATTACCAAGCTCCTAGCATTGGCGTATAAGCAATGTAAGAATTTCTTCTCTTCACATCCTTGGGTGTCTTGATTGATTTTGTTCTCAGCATCTTGATTTTCTTCTAAATGAATGCCTCTTTGTTCCCTCTTCTCACCCTCCCCGTTTGTTCTGCGGTTAACACCCTCCTCCTGCGAATCACCCCAACAGGTTTCAGGAATGCCAACTAGCTGGAATTTATGCTTATAAATCAGCAATGCCCAGGCCTCTTGTTTGGCACCCAGGCTCAGGCAACTAAAGAATTTCTTCCCTTCACATCCTTTGGTTCCTTGATTAATTTTGTTCTCAACATCTCAGTTTTGTCCACAACCTGGCGTTGGCTGGTAAAGAATCCCCCAATGCCTTCTCCCATCCTGCCCAAAGAAGAGCGGGGAGGCTGCAGGTCAGGACTGAAAGGCATTGTCAAGATTGTCCAAGGGCACTTGCCCCACCCAGCTTGCTTTATGGGCCCAATCCTCTCCGACTGTAGTCAGTGGCAAAACTCACGGTGACTTCAATAGGAGCAGGATTGGGCCCTGCGCCCAGCTCTCCCCAGCAATATCAGCATTTCACGCCAATCGATACTGAAACGGACACCAGCACACAACCAAAGCGCCAGCAGCTAGAGAGCAGAACAATCGCACAGGATCACTCCACAGACCGGCGTGTCCAAAGGGCAGAAAAGTGACTGAGTGTTTTATGAATCATTTTAATTAGTCCAAGGAAGACAACAACAACAACAACTAATTCAATAAATAAGGGCACTGTTTCGAGAAACCCCAGCTAGAAATCCATCTGCTCTGCAGGGCTCCCTGTTAATCGCTCTAGCTTACAATAAAGGACACAGACACGTTACTCAAGGCAGAATGCTCTTACAACACGTGGCTGCTTCAGTAGCTGTACGCCGCTGGTATCGTGGTGGGAGAGAGGAGGAATCGAGTGACTGTTGCACAAAGAGTTCACAGTTCTCTTATATTGGTCAATTGAGTCTTCATCCCCCCTGAAATAACCAAGGCCACTGTTGGATCATCCCCCACGAGAGGTTGGGGGAAGATGGGGGTTCATAAGGCAGGGGAGTGAATGGGCCCCTTCAGCTACTGCAGACTAGGCCCCACATCTAGATAAGAACTGAATGCGTTGCAAGATTTCAGTTCGGTTTTTCACACCCATTCGGTCTCACGAGAACACCAGCAGTAAGGGTGGTCAAGCCAGCAACAGGGGAAATGGCTGAAGGGGAGACGTCAGTAAGAAAAGCCTCGCTTGGTTTCCCAAACCTGCCAGGTGTTCCGAACGCCCCCTCCTGACGGAAGGCGCAAGGCACAGCTCGCAAGAAAGGCCTGGCATGATTTCCCACCAACCCTGATCTGCAGTGAACAAGACAGTCAACTGGGGGAGCAGTTTGTAGATCAGGAGTCTGATGGAAGCTGACTCCAGCACCTTCACGCAAGCCATTGCTTAAGCCAAATGGCATGAGCAGACCAAGCCACAGTTGATTATGTGGCTGTTTAAGGTTCCCGAGCCCAGCCCTCGTCTCTGTTCCAACAGCGTAAGAGGTTGAGATAACCAGGACTACAGTGTAACAAAGCCGGCTGCCAGTTCCTGGTGCACAGCTTTACAACGCTTTCCTCGCCGGTCAGTGGATCTGAAGATCTCGTCATACACTGCACAAGCAGGAGAAGGCGGGAGTGAGAGAAAGGGCCTCCTTGTAGGTACTGCTGTGAGGCGCTCTTTGGGGATGCTTGTCAGACTGAGAACGGAGCAAGCAGTGCCCTAGTGGTATTTGCTCGCACAACGAACCCTGTGGGCGAAGCTGCAGGTGCAAATGCGAGTCAGTTTGGAAACTTGGGCCCTTTCTGTCCCATTGCTCCTCTAGGAGCATTGCAAAGGCCAGACGAGCTGCAGCCCCATGTTCTGAGATATGGCGGGGGAGGGGTTCATTTCTCACCAGCGGTGGTCTTTGGGCCTACCTCGCACCTTGGATAGACGTTTAACCCACTTTGCACACGTGTAAATGACTGTGCAAGGTGCAGGGCAACAGAGAATCAACCCCTCTCTCCCTAAACTTCAGAACAAGGGGGCTTAAGGTTCCAAGATGCACTTCCCTTATGCAACAGTCCCCATGTAGTCCCCTGGAACCCCACATTCCCATGCTCTGCAGTGCCCTGTGTCCCCTCATTCCCGTGCTCTGCAGTGCACTGGATCCCCACATTCCCGTGCTCTACAGTGCCCTGGATCCCCACATTCCCATGCAGTGCAGTGCCCTGGATCCCCTCATTCCCATGCAGTGCAGTGCCCTGTGTCTCCACATTCCCATGCTCTGCAGTGCACTGGATCCCCACATTCCCGTGCTCTACAGTGCACTGGATCCCCACATTCCCGTGCAGTGCAGTGCCCTGGATCCCCACATTCCCGTGCAGTGCAGTGCCCTGTGTCTCCACATTCCCATGCAGTGCAGTGCCCTGGATCCCCACATACCCATTCTGTCCAGTGCCTGATAATTCAAGAATGTTTTAATCTCGCTCATTTCTAGAACCAATTCTTTCCCAGTGGGTTTGGAAATCTTTCCACATCAGTGCTAATGACTTTCTCCAGCTCCCGATGGTTTCTAACAGCAGTCATCCAACGGTCATATTGGCAACTTGCCACAAACCCTGCGTAACTTGCATAAACTGGAGCAGATGGCAGCTGCCTTTATCTTTAACATGGTATATTGGGTGAAGACCACAGGTCCTGCATGCAATGCTCCAACCTGATACAGGAATGTGATTGCCATGAGCCTCCCCACTCCATTCACATTGATGGAGGCCCCTCCATAGGCCACACTTCGGGCACTAATTGTACTCTACTCTCCCTCTGCAGGAGATTAGTAATGCCCATTAAGGTAAATGGAAGTTACTTGAGTCCTGCTGCAGGAGAATATAGCCCCTGGAAGGCAGATCCCATCTGATCAGCTGCTGCAGTGTAATGGTAAAGCACAGCGCTGCAAGCCACCACGGACACACAGTCCAGCACTCAAGCATGCATGCCCTCTTTCTTTTTATACTCCTAAGGCAGAAATCCACAAAGTCGAATCAGCAAAGATTGCAGGGAGGCCTGGATTAAATAGCCCTTTTCTTGTTTCTCATGATAACTTCTAGTTTTCTCTGATTGAAGAACTCATGACAGAAAATAATTACCCATTTACAAACAAACCTGGTTTTACAGGTAAATGTGAAAGGATCTGACAATGTAACTGGCATGTGAAACAGACTAGGGTGGAGATCTGTTTCATTTTGGTTCATTCCACTTCAGAATTAAGACTCTCTATAGTCGAGAGTCTTCCAGAGTGATTGCAAAGTTCCTTCCAATGACAGCCAGTGATTTTATTCAAGTGGGTGGGAAAAGCGAGGGAAACTCACTTCCTGCCCTAAAAGCATCAAATAAACCCTGATCCTTGGCTCTAGGGCCTATCGGACTCCCAAGCTAATAGAAAGCAGCTCTGGTCTTAAGATCAAAAATTTTCCCAGCCAAGGAACAGATTTCCCCTTCACCTTCGAATGTTTGTGGGTTTTATTATCGCTTGCTAAATTCATTGTTGCCTATTATTCAGCTTAGTCCATAGTTTCAAGCTCTCTGGGTTGGTTTTCTCCTCCATCTTATGAATTCAACAAATAAATCACTGGGCAAAGAGCAGAACAAAAAAAAGAGAAAATAAAAGTAAAGCAAACTGTAAAAAAGAGCAAGTGCTGGATGCATGTGGATATCTGTACCTATATGTGAGGTGAATGTTTGCCAGCAAAAACAGAGGCTTTACATTGCGTGTACATTAGAGTTTACCAGCATCTGGGTGATTTTTTTTTAAATCTTTCTCAATTACTAGAGACGTCTGATGCTGCAGCCTCTCTCTCTAATGGAATTTTTCCCTAGATACACTTCATTCATCCTAAATATTTATATTTCAATCAAGGGGCTTTCTTCTTCCCCATCCTCCAGACCTCCTTAAGGGATAATACAGTAACACTGAGAAAGCAATGACAGCCCGATTCCATTAAGTTCTCTTCTTAAACAGTCTTATGTTATAATACAAACGGAGTCCTTCTTATACTCACATAAATCAATTGTTCAGCAGATCTAATCTCCTAACAGGTTCATCCTTTCATCACTTAAGAAGCATTTTATCTTATTTAAAGTGATAGAAATGGATGATCGCAGTTTTATTCCTTTAATGGGTTTATTCTCAGAACTGGTCTCCTCATCGCTGTAATTTGGTATTCCGGGGGTTCTTTTAATTCGTTGGAGAGGTTTAATCTTTAATCCAGACATCATTGGAAGTGGATTTTGTGTTCTTATATCAGGTTTATAGCCTAGGGCCAGATCCCTGCGCCCTTTATTCACATGACTAATCCCAAGGGGCCAAACCCACTCCCATTGAGCCTTATTCTGCACCTTCTGGAAAGCACCGAGGGCCCTGATCACCTACTGATACCAGTGTCAGTTACTGCTCTGCATCCGACAGGGTCAGGCTGGTTGACTTCAGTGGGCGTGGCGTTTGCTCAACACCTGCACCGATTTGGCCCACTGATTTTAACCTCAGTCACTGATGTACACACGCTGTTTACTGGCCTGCAGATCTTCCTCAAGCAAACCTCCACAACGATGTTGGATAAGAGGCCTGAGTAAGGATTGCACTGTTGGTTCCCACTGATTTCAGCAGAAGGAGGCTCACGCTCCGGGGCCTAGGTCTTGATCCAAACCCAGTGAAGATAATGGAAAGACTCCCATTGACTTCAGTGCGGTTTTGGATCAGGTGTTTAGCAGGATTTCACCAAGACTTCTAAACGCTCGACAGAGAGTTAAAGAACACAGCACATGAGCTGTAATTAACTACACACAGATCATGACCTCTGGACACCATTAAAAAATGTGGTACTTCAATGGAGTTTTTTCCCCCAGGGTGATAGAGACCATAGTTCATCCCTGTAGCTTTATAATGATAGCAAGAACCAACCTCAACCTGCTAGAAAAAATACCTGTCTGTGTATTGACAACCCCCCAAAAGCTGGAGAACTTTAATAGTTATTTTATGGATAACTTTTGGAAGCATTGAAATAAAATATGACAAGCAATTCCGTCACAAGCAAAATTACTTTTTTGCTTGTAAGCATTTTTGTTTGGCTATTTAAATTTATATTTGTATGTGCCTAGCCACATTTGAATTAAGCCATTAATAGTATATATATATTTATATACTATTATATATGATATATTTATTGCAGTACACTGCAAATGTCACCTTTTGTTTGGATTACTTGCCTATCTAATTCCACTTTTAAACTTCCTACTTATACTGTTTTTCTCTCTCTATGCAGAATATTGTGCTTTACTTATATTTCAGGTTTTATTGCCAAGACGTTACTTCATCTCCTAACTGCAGACCATGTCTCCTGGCATCAGCACAAATGATCAGACTCAGACTTCTGAATGGGGAAGAACAGTTCATTTAAAATGAAAATCTGGAAATTGTTTAAAATGCAAGTCGTTTTCCTATTTCTTTTCTTCTGGACAAAGAACCAGATTTTTTTTTAAAGGCTCGAGGACCGTGGATTTGCTGGTGTGACTGGTAGGTGGAGTGAAGATTGTGTGCTGTCCATTTCTCTGTCCCGCTTTCAGAAGTAGGATAGGTCAACGCAAATATTGTGAAGGATTGGAGAAGTCTTTTCTATTCACATAACTTGTAAAAACGGTCACATTTTTCACATATTCTTCCCTTTTAGTTAGGAACAGTGAAAGCTCAGATTCGATGCCACACAAGTTTTACAATTAACTATTGCTAAAAAGTTGTTTACTGCTGAAAATTATACCCTACATAAAAAACCAAAATACAGACTCTACATGTGCTTTGTGTGCCATCAGTAACCTAGCAGAGGACCACTGATCTGTAACTTTGGCTAGACTTATTACTGCATGTCAGTCAAAGGTCATGAGGAGATAGTATTGTACATGGCACAGAAAACTTCCAGATAGCTTGACGTTTTCTTTCATTCTAATGCCAGGGCTTAGGAAAGCAGCTCTTCCCAAAATGAAATAGAAAAAGAAACATTTGGTTTCCAAAAGGCTGCTGGACTAGGTACTTAGTTATATCCAATCGTCAGGTGAGTGTCCGATCTGCATTTTCAATGTCTGTTCTTGCTCCCAGATATTTTCTTGCAGTAGGTGACATTCCAATAGTCCTACTCTGCTCCGAGCTGTGGAGTTAATGTAAAACCTCCATGTTGAACAGTTAAAAAACCCCTTTTAGCGGTTTGTTCACCTAAAGAAGAAGCGTGAAGGCCCCAGCGGAACAGCAGGAGTGAGGGGTCTAAGACCCCTGGCTGATTGCTGTAGACTCTGTCACCTGGATGACTTCATTCTCTACCAAGGCTTGTCCCCCATCGCCATTGAGTTGTCTCAGTCTCAGATTTATAGATCCGTAGGTTTTCCTTGGCCCCCGGGAGCCCGGGAAGGTCCGTCTCCGGTACAGCTCCCCTTTGTATATGGAGACCAGCAGCAGCACGGAGAGCAGCATGCCCCCCAAGGTCAGCAGCCCCAGGCCTGCGATGATACACTTGTCCAAGTGGGAGCCCAGGCGCGCGTAGTACATCTCCAGCCTCTCCATCTCCCGGGCCGTCACTGCGGCGGGGTCCACCCGGGGCTCCCGGGGGATGGTGTAGGCGATCACCACCAGCACGATCCCACTCACGAGGAAGATCAAGGCCGAAATGAACCCATAGTCCACAGAGTGGCCAGCGGGCTCGGGCAGGGGCCCATCCTCCGACCTGGGCGAGAGGTCTCCCCGCTGCGCCCTGGCCCGGGCGGCGCCTCCCCCGGGGCCGCTCCCCGCCTCCTCGCCGCTCCGGAACCAGGTTTCCTCGTCCTCCGGCGCCTGGTAGGAGGCGTTGTCCAGGCCGGCGGTGGGAGCTGTCCGCGGTACTGAGCAGCCCCCGGGGCCCTTCCCGAGGCCCCTCAGCTCCAGGGGGCAGGAAGTCGCCATGGGCCAGCAGCTCCCCGGGGCATCCCCGTCAGCGCCGGGTCTGCGGAGACACGAGACGGGCCCGCAGGCCGGGCTGTGAACAGCCCGCAGCTCCCGGGCCGCGCCCCGCAGCGCCAGGGGCCCCGGCGAGCTCAGCGCAACCGGGCGGCCGAGCGGCCGCTCTCCGGGCTCGGGAAGCGCTGGGCAGGGCAGAGCTTCCTCCGCCCTGCGCCCCAGCGCCCCATGGCCGGGCACCCCCCGAGCCAGGGGCCGGCCGGGGGTCACTGCCGAGCGCCTCCGCCGCGGGCTGCGGGTGCATCGCCCTGCGGGTGCATGGAGAAGCCCCGGCCGGCTGCAGACGGCAATGCCCCCCCCCGCCCCCTTGTTATTCTCCTCCTACCTGCCCGGGCCGCGCACTGCGGGCGGGCGGCGCCGGGGGCCGGGCTGGGCTCCGGGCAGCCCGCAGGCGAGCTCCGCTCTGCCACCCGCCCTGGGCGCTGGGGGACGCTGCTCCGGCCGGGGCCGCGCCCCGCCCCCCGGTGCCCTTCCGCGGGAAGGATGGATGGAGGTCAGGACGGCGGCGGGGCTGCGCTGTCCAGCCCCCGCCGCCCCGGGAGTCGAGTCACGCAATCCCCCGCCCAGCTCAGCACCAGCCTCCTCCCTCCCCGGCCCGGCCGCCCGACATTCCCCAGCAGCACCTGGCCCCGCCAGACACACCTGCTCCAAAGCACCCGACTCAGCCACCGGCCAGAGCCCCCGGAACCGGCTCGGTCCCCCGGGGCGCGGCGGGGAGCGGCGTCCCCCCCCCCCAGCTGGCTCTGCCGGAGCCCGGCTCGCCTCTCAGTGCCAGGGGGCGGGGGGGCGAATCCAACCAGGGGCCGGGGCCGGTAAACAAAGGCGCCGCCAGGTTCTCACGCCACCGCCCAATGGAGCAGATCCGGCACCTGCTGCCAGACAATGCGCCCCTGAAAGGCCAGGGCGCGGGGGCACCTACCTGGCTGGGCAGAGCCGGAGCCGCCCTGCCAAGGCGATCGTGCCCGCGGGCTGCTCCGGCGGACCGGACCGGGCTCCCTGCGGAGCAGGTGGGAGACATCCCCTCCGTGCCAGGCAGCCAATGGGGCCGGCTGCGGAGAGCCCGGCAGAGGGGCCGAGCGGGCGCGGTGATGAGAGGCAAGCCAATGAGGGCACATACCTGCGGGCTGGGGGGAGGGGAGGTGCAGGGCGAGGGGGGGGCACGGAGCTGCGAGGCCCAGCCCCGAGCCAGATGCTAAGGCTCAGGCCAAGCGCGAGGAACCAGATCCCGGCTGGCGAGAGAGACCTGCCGGGGAGAAAGTCCGCGAACGCCCATCCCTGGCTGGGCGTGTGCTGGGGGGCGACGCAGAGACCAGGGGGGTCGTTTCACCCGTCACTCAAAGCAGGGAGGGGTCCCATAGGGGCTGGGGCCAGGGCCCCGCTCCTGCAAACTAGGTCAATGTATGTCAATGGACTCTGGGATCAGGCCCTACAGGTTCCGATCTGTGCAATGATGAAGCAAATTGCTCATAGGTTTCAGAGGGGTCGCCGTGTTAGTCTGTATCAGCAAGAACAAGGAGGAGTCCTTGTGGCACCTTAGAGACTGACACATTTATTTGGGCATCAGCTTTGATGGGATATAACCCACTTCATCGAATGCGTGGAGTGGAACATACAGTAGGCAGGTAGAAATACACAGCAGATGAAAAGATGGGCAGATAACACCCTGCAGAGCAGCAGGACCATGCCCCGGCCCTAGAACAGTCTGAGATTCTGAGACACACACACACACCCCAGTGCGCCTTCCTTGGCACATTTCTCCTACCTGCTTCTTTCATACAGCACATGACATATTCCAGACATGTCAGATGTTAACCCTTCCATTCCCCAATCCTTGTGGTGACCTGCTGGCATGAGAGTGGTTTTAGTTTATTTGTTCCTAAACGGTGTGTTATTTTAGTTTTAGTGCCTGTACCTAGAGATTGTGTTGTGGGCATAAGTACAAAATGATATGAGGCCTGGGGGTATTCAAAGCCACCTAGGGAATGTAGACCCCAATGCCCAGGCATTGTAATGCAGTGCTATCTCTCAGGCAGCTTCAGAATCTCAGCCATAACAATACATACAGTTCTTAGACTGACACCATGCTGATGAGTGTGGTGAACTAGCTAGAATAGACTAAAATACTGGACCCCATTTATCTCAGGAGCAATGATTCTATTGTAGCTGACACAGTTCCACCATGGATACATTTGGCCCATTATCACTACTGTTCATAAGATTAACTGTATGGATTACCTTTATCTTCATTATCCATCTCGGAGTAAGCTTTAATGTTACCTTTTAAAAAAAATTACCCTATTGGTAATGGGTTTTTGGGCGGGGGTGTGGATTTTAGCTGCTTTGTCACACTTTTTGATTTGACTGGGATGCACCCAGTTCTGTTAACTGAGTCGGCAGGTCTCAGCCCCAGTGTAGAAAAGTGTCC